AAATAAAATAATATAATATTTATTAATTAATATAATAATTTAAATTTGTGCTTATTTTTCAAAATTATAATTTATTAATTACAAACAATTGATACTACAGAAAAAAAATTATAATAATTAATACTATACAAAAAAATAAAAAAATAATGTAAGAATTGACATAAAATGTTACAATTACGAGAAAAGTAAGAAATCTCTTTAATAAATATTTAAAGTTTTATATAATTACATAAATGAAAATATTAAAAATGTAAAATTTTATTTTTAGGAAATAAACTTTTTTTAAATAATATAAATCATGTTGAAAATAATATTTTTTTATATTTGATATTTTGACTAATTTTTTTTTTACTATTTCAAATATTAAAAAATAAATAATCATATCATTTTTTAATTAAATAAATTTTTTGAATTTCTTTCCTAAAATTTAATCAAACTTTTGTTGTATCTTTTGTTTAAATAAAATAGGCACTAATGATAATACAGCAAATACACATAATATTATAACACTTTTCCATGACCAGCCAGTAGATAAAGTTAAATTTTGTAATGTCTGACCTGCTTGAATGGCAATAAAAGATGGTGGAACAACTCCAAAAAATGTGCCTACAGTAAATGGTGCAAGAGGCACTCCAATTATAGGACTGGCTAGATTTATAAACCAATTTGGAAGCAATGGAGTTATTCGAAGAAATAGCATATAATTAAAAAGATTATCTTTGTGTTTTTTTACTGTTAATGTCCATTCCCTTGCTTTTTCTGGGAAATATTTAAAAAGCAATCTACGTCCCAAAAGTGATGAAAGAAGATAGCAAAGTGATGCTCCTACTGCACTGCAACTGCATACTAATAATAAAGCTAAAGGAAAAGGAAAAAGAAAACCAGAAAGGATTGAAAGGAAAATAGAACCTGGAATAGCAAAAGTTTGTAAACTAAATCTATGTTAAGGACTATTTTATGAATTATTTTTTTCAATAATTATATGAGATTTTAAAATAATTATGAATAATGTATTATATGTAAATTAGAAAATTACTTATATAAAAATAATATATTATTATTTTATTATATATATTTTAAAATTATAGATTTCATATTGAAGGATACAAAATATATGTAAGAAATAATCCAATTAGCACTTGAAAATAATAAAGATCTCTATATCGTCCAAGAAGTTTACCCAAATTTTTAGCCTCTTCAAGATCTAATGGTAATTTCATATGCTGTTGTTCATCTCTGAAATATAATGAATTTAAATGTTTCTTCTTTTTATTAACATTATTATAATTGTTTCTTACTCTGTAAGTTCTGGAAAAGTAGTATATACATAAAGTAATGCTGATAAAGAGGTGATAAAGACCACACTAACTGTTAAAATTGCTTGTTTTGTCGATACCTCCTTAGAGGAATCTGAAAATATATTTTATATATTAAAATATTAAATTATAATATTTAATAATAAATTTAATTTATTAAAATATTAAAAATTTTTACTAATTTTTTTTAATTTAAAAATTATATTAAACTTTTAATAAATTATATTTACTTTAATAAAAACATAATACTTATATAATAAATACTTTAATAAGCATAAAAACATATTATGTTAGTAATTTTCTTAATAAATTATAAATAATTTTGTATTTATAATGTATTTTATTATGATGATGACAAGAATAATGAGTTTTAAGGTTAGAATTCTTCTATTTTTATATTATGCGATATTGAATTCTACAATAATAAAATGTGTTAATAAATATATAAATAATTTAAAATTATGATATATTAATTAAAAGTTACTAATAAAACTAAATAAAATTTCATAATAATCAACAATCGAATTATCAAGACTTTTTAATAATAAAAAGTAACAAACATTATTTGAATAAAATTAATATTTCGTTTATTAAAAAATTCTATTTTAAAACAAATATCCTACCGATATTCTCTTTTATTCTAGTTTCTGTTTTCATAACTAGGTTGTTACTATTTTCTTAGAAGCTAATTACTCAGCAATTCAAGATGGCGCAAAGATAGAAAATTTTTTTGTAATAAATAAAAATAAATTAATTTTTTTTATAAATATAGTTTATAATGTAATGATTTTTAATAAATTCGGCATTTATTATTTATTTTTTAATTTATAATTTAATTTAATATTGATATGTATAAAAAATTAAATATTGATAGATAAACTATACTGGTTATAATTAAGAAAATTAAATTTAAATTAAAATTAGTATTGATAATTATTATATATTATTATTAGTAAATTTTTTATATTTTTATATTTATTATATTTTTTTAAATATTATTTTNTATAATCATTAATTAAAATTAATTGAAATTAATTATAAATATTAATAATAAATTATGTATTTAATAATAATATTATATTCAGATTATTTAAATAAAAATATTAAAAAAATATAAAATATATATAAAATTTAAAATATGTATAAAAAATATTATTTTATAAAAAATAAATATAAAATTTGATATATAAACTATAATAATAATTATTTATTTAATTTTAATATTTTATTTATATTATTTATATTATGTTAAAATGATAAGTTAATTAAATTATGAAATTATATTAAAATTTTCTTATATATACCTGTTGTTAGTGATAACATTACTATTAATGAACAGTAGTAGTACAATCTTATATTTCATGAAGCATTATTTTTTGTAGTAGAAATTGCACTACAAAAAATTATTAACAATAAATATCGATGTTTAAAGCCATCACTATTTCTTATTTTATTTCACCACGTGGCTCCCTCTGTCTTCTTTTATCTTTTTCCACCTCTAAGTTTCTTTTCATATCTCTTTCTTTTCAGTATCTCTTTCTTTCTTTTAGAACTTTTTCTCTTTCTAAGGGAGGATCGTGGGCGGAAATTAGAATAACCAGTCTAGTCAGTTGTGTTGTGGTCGGCGGGTGGTGCGCGTCTAGTTTGTAGCAGTGGAGATTTTTTTGAAGTACCGCTTTTGTATTTATATTTTAATATGCCGAAAATAGAGTTTTGTTAATTTTGCTTTGAAGAAGATTTAGAACTTATAAATTTTCATTTAATTTATCATTCACGATTTCGTTCGAATGGAAAGTTCAATGATTTTTTGTGTATTCTGGATATTTTGTTGGTTTCTCTCCCGATGATCATTCTTGGATACATCGATAGGATTGCGTCATGATAGGTCTGCATTTATCGAAGGCAGCGTATGTATAATTATATATATAATATAATATAACATAATAAACTTTTATTTATGTAAATGTATTGTCAGCATGTCTTTTTTTAAATATTATTTTATTTTAATTCAATCAAATATATTTTCATTTTATTATTATTTTATTTGATTTATTGCATTTCTTATTGAATTCTTTTTATATTTAATAATTCAAAAGAATTTATATAATTTATATTATAATATATATATAATATATATATATATATTATAATATGAATATTAAATATGTACATTTATTTATCTATTAATAT